AAGATGCCATTAGGGGTAGGTGTCCAAATTCTAGAATCCGCCCTAGTGGGGTCTAAGACAACGTTATCAAGAAGTGCAAKAARRSTMGAAATACWGTCGAAGTCTGAGTCCCTCAAATCCCTTCTTAGTCCCAAGTTCCACCCAATCCCATAAGTGGAAGAGGACGGGGTGGTGAAAGACGAGATTGACTCATTTTTCAAATCAGAAAGAGCATACAAAGAAGGAAACTAATCCTTTAGAGCGGCACTCCCCACCTTGGTTTGTTCCCAAAATTTTATGGAGTTACCGGAATTCAAATCATACCTGATATTAGGGGAGAAAACAGGTAGCAGGTCATGAATGGCTTTCCAAGGAGAATTGCTTGTGGTCCTAGTTCTGATTCCAGCGTCCCATCCATTTTTCTCCAGCCCATGTATACTTGCCACTATTCTAGCCCATAGCTTATCCTTTTCCATAGGTAACATCCACAACCACTTCCCCAACAGAATCATATTCTTTCTCCTAATACTCCCAAGCCCCAAACCACCACAAGTCTTACTCCTACACACTATCTCCCAACTAACTCTATGATCCCTCTTCTCCTCTCCCGGCTCCCACAGGAAATCTCTCATTAGCTTCTCCAATCTGTTAGCAACCTTCACTGGGATTTTAAACATTGACAGGAAAAAGATGGGTAAGTTAGCAAGCGTGGCCTTAATTAGTGTAATTCTCCTACCAAGAGAGAGGTAGTTCTTTTTCCAGGATACCGGTCTTTTTTCAAACCTTTCCACCACTAGGTTCCAAAAGCTCTCTCTCGTAGGATTATCACCTAATGGCAACCCTAAGTAGTTCAAAGGCCACCCYGAGACTTCACACCCYAGCACTTCAGCACTCTCCCTGATCTCTCCCTCCTCCAAATTCACTCCCACTACACAGCTTTTCCCAAGGTTAACCTTCAAGTTGGACATTTGCTCAAACAGTTGTATCACCGACTTCAAGTTCCTGATAAAGCTCACATTACCGCTTTCACAAAACAGAATCGTGTCATTAGCAAACTGTAAGTGAGTGAGGGGGGTTTCCACCCTCCCAACTCTCCAACCTTTAATGAGCCCCCTAGAATCTGCTCTGTGAATCAGTTTCCCCAAAACATCCTCAATTAGAATGAACAAGAAAGGAGAAAGGGGGTCTCCTTGTCTTATTCCCCTACTGGCTGGAAAGAAATCTACCACTGTCCCATTCACTAGCACTGAATAATGACAATTCTGGACACAACCCATGATCCACTTACACCATCTAGCCCTAAACCCAAATTTAGTCAAAACTTTCCTCAAGAAATCCCAGTCCACCAAGTCATAAGCCTTTTCCAAGTCCAACTTACAGACCACTCCTTTCTTCTTATCCCTCTTAAAGTTCTCCACACTCTCATTAGCAATTAGAATCTATCAATAATTTGTTTTCCACTCACAAAAGCTCCTTGATAGTGTGCAATGATATCTGGCAATACCTTCTTCAGCCTCAAAGACAACMCTTTTGCAATGATCTTATACAAGCTATTAACCAAGCTAATTGGCCTAAAATCCTTTGGGTGGGATGCATCTTTCTTTTTTGGAATTAAGGCTATAAATGTAGTGTTCACACCCGGATTGACAATTCCTCTCCTGAAAAACTCCTCAAACACCCGCAAAAGATCATCTTTCAAGATATCCCAACAGTCCTAATAAAAAGCCATTGWGAACCCATCYGGCCCTGGAGCTTTTGTTCTATCCATAGAAAACACAACCTCCTTGATCTCTTCTAAATTAAAGCTTCTTTCCAACCTTCTCTTGTTCTCCACCCTTACATCTGGCCAATCCAATCCTTCTACCCACACCCTTCTTCTCACAGGCCTTCTTAGAATAGATTTGAAGTGCTCCACACAGGCCCCGACAATCTCCTCTTGTTGTACTAACTCAAATCCATCTACTACTAATTTGGAGATAAAGTTCTTCCTTATCCTACCATCTGCTAGAGAGTGGAAATACCTAGTGTTTCTATCTCCCTCTTGCAACCATTTACATCGAGATTTTTGCCTCCAGCTAATTTCCTCCTTGTGCAGGCAGTCCTCTAACTGTCTTCTCAAATCTCTCCTGAGATCATTGTCTTCCTCTCCAAATTCTCCCCTTTCTTCTTTAGAGTCAAGGCTTTCAAT